ACTCCAAGAACTTACCGTTCACAGCCAATATATATGAAAATTTTCGGTATTCTCAAGAAAATCAAATCAGCGTTATTTTGCAGAGAAATACATTTTCTTAAATTAGTTCTCAGAATATTTGCATGTCTCTACATATATGTACGTACGTAGAAAAATGTGTAAAACTAATAAAAAGGAATTATATTATTGAAGACATATTCAAATGTTTGTTTACCTGGAAANAAAAAATGTAGATTGTTATGGTTTCACTATATTCGAATTTGGATACGGCGTTGTGTCTAGAAAACAAATTTGGATACGGCGTTGTGTCTAGAAAACAATGATTTACGTTTTGCATGTGAATCTATAAGAAATATTCTCAATGATTAATTGTTCTTAAACTTTGTAAATATATGGATGGGAAATTCAATTATTTTCTGTATTATAGAAAAACAAGATGGTCCAACCTCCACCAATCAATTATTAATCAAAATTTTCAGGATATACAATAATAAAATGAAAATATAGAAGAGACGTTGAGATAAGCTCAAATTTGATGAAATGTTGTGAATAATAAATAATCTCCTCCACCTTGGGAGGTCTTGTCTCTTTCTAAGGAAGCCGCACTATATTAATATTATATTAAATATTAGAAATATAAAATAGGATCGTTGGGTGAGAGACGTTGAATATACTTTATGATAAAAATGGGAATAAGAAAAGAGACTCCTCCACCTTTGGAATTGGAACGACATTGACAAAGTTGGAATCTTTGCTTTATAATGATAAAACGGGGTTAGGTTAGGTTGTGTAATTGGATACCAAACTTGCCAAGGCAGAGTTGGTCACATCCTCTTACTATTGCTACCATTTTATAATATTGTTAGTAACCAATCAGTATACTAAGTTTTATTGGTAGCCTTTGGAGAACTATTACATATATTCAAGCTATATGGTCCATACACTCTTGACATTTTTCTTGTGAGTGGCTAATCTGATTCTATCTTTTGTGGACATTTTGATACTCCTTTCTTTCTTTCATGAATGGTTATATAATAACATGGTTACTTTTTTTTGGTCAAGCATAACATGGGTTACTTGCCTACTTGGTTGCAATATATATATATTCGCTCGTGTGATATGTTACAAAATATTTGGTAATTTTTTTTGATAGATGAGTCTACAACAACATCGTTTCTTGGTCTTAATAAAACAAGAGAAATTGGCAAATATAACCAAAAAAAAAATGAAAACATAATAACTAAGCAAAATACCATATGTAGCACTAATCATAGCCATTAATTTTAAAATTTTTGGTTAGTTATTATGTTTTAATTTTTTTTGGTTATTAACCAAATTGACTCATACAACAATACATGAAACTAAATAGTCGCAAGCAGAGAAATCCAACTCGATCGAGTGAATAATATTCTTGTAACTTGGTGGTTTACACGTTGAACACGTATTGTAACTTGTAGCGGGCGATATATCCCTATAAAGTTTTGAAATAATTATAGAAAGTTTTGAAATAATTGTAGAAACTTTTTGATAGTGAAATAGAGAAGATCCCTTAATTACGTCTTAACACAAGATCGTATCTTGCTTTTTTTCATATATAATAATATTATGCATTAATCACATTAGATTTAAAATAAGCAAGCACGCGTTTCATTGATCAAACACAGCCACGAGGTTCATGAGCTATGGATTTAATATGGAAACGTCTACGCGTAAAATTCCTAGTCAGCTTCAACCTCCGAAATTCAAAAACAAGCATTGTATATCCTTTAACCAGTTACTTATTAAAGATCTTTTATGATTAACTAATTTTCAAAGAAAGTCAAGTAAAAATGAATGAGTAGTTATGAATTGAAGCATGCCTAAAATGATGGTTTAGAAGCCCAATTAAGGTTTTGTTGGACTTTGAACAATTCAAAAAGCAGAGGAAATGAAAGTCATAGGAATCAAGGGACAATTGTTGGACAAGTAGCTGAAACTGACAATTGATGTTAATAAGGTAACGGCTGTTTACTTTTTGCAGAAGACAGTTACTCTGGTGGGCTTGTGAAGAGACTGATCCTAGCAGTAATATGCAGCAAGACAAAAAAAAACCCTTAAAGCAGAGAAGAAGCAATGTTGACTAATAAAAACCCAATCCCCAATTTGCCCGGTTTCACATTCATGGTGACGACTCACAGAGACACAGGCTGGCTGAAGCGAGTATTAAAGAGAAAGAAAGAGTTTTAGTTTTGATGGGGGAGAATAGAGTATGATGGAGTCAAACAAGGATCAAGTGAAGAAGAAGGTGACAGCAATGAAGGAGAAGAGAGCGAGATTATACATAATTAGGCGATGCCTGGTGATGCTGCTGTGTTGGAGAGAGCCTCGTGATTAGTTAAGATAAAGATGAAGAAGACTGCAATAGAAACAAACCTCAGCATTATAGAGGACAAGGAAGATATCACTGAGTAGGAGGCATTTGCTATCTTGTTTTGAAGGAATCAGAGATTGTTTCTTTATGCTCCTCTAAGTCAGTCTCCCAACTAGGTGTATATGTAGAAAGAGTATATGAATGTGAGTAATTTTAGCATTGAAAGCGTCACTTGTCTCGAATTCAATTGTTGATGCTTTTTGATCACAAAACTCCTTTCTAATTATTCATTCTTTCCACACCAAAAGAGAAATGAAATCGGAGAGTGACAACATTTACACATTGTGGTCGGAATGGAAGAGAGGACGATCCTTGTCCTTGGGGAGGTCTCGGTCATCGTCGGGATCGGTGGTGGTGAGGTTGAGACAAGCGAAGCGTTCAAGGGAGGTGAAGAAAGCGGAGGAGCTAACCCATGTGGCCACCTTATCCAGCTTCCCTCCACAAATCACGCCATTGTTGCTGTCCATTCACAGATATTTCCAT